TCAGGATAGACTATTTTAGCAAGGGTAGAAGTTAAGCTGGGTCTCCTCGTTGAACTATGGTCCTGTCTCCAGAGAGAAGGCAAGTCCACTAGCAGTACCTCCACTTTAAAACCTCCCAGTTTGACAGACTAATCCCGAAGCTGGTCCTTGAGCCACACTGCCAGAAGAAAGTCCTGTAAGGAAGCAGCATGCAACCAATAAGGCATTCACCAATGTTGTGGTCTACTAACCATGGCTTGGGATCAGCCATGTCAGATCTAAAACCAGATCTGCCAAGCTTTCATGTGTTCCCAAAACCTGCTTTCCCTGCTCTCTTGAACAGTTTGTGAATTAGGGCTTTGCTGTGGAAATGCACAAGCCTGACTTGTTTCTTCAGCAATCCAAGCTACAAGGCAATTAGGTCATAGGAACAATTCTGCAGGAGTCAACTTGAGTCAAAGCCAGTTGTCCTGAAACTGAGCTAATAAAACAGGCTGCACACTAGCCAGCACTTTGGTCTCAGGTGTCTTTCCACACTTCCAGGACAACACAAAGGAATATCTGCATCTGACCAGAATAGAAGCAGCTTGGGAAAAGCCAGCCAGGCTTACTTAGCTCTGAATTCTCAGTGGTACAGTTGTGCTCCCTCAGGATTCAGCCTGTCACTGGCCCTGACCTAAAGGGTGTTGCTAACTCAGGTCTATCCAGAACACTTCCCTCCCCCAAATTCCCATGATTCCTGTGGCCTTATTGGCCTCTCTCCTTAACATACACCACTGCCTTCACTCTTCCACGTAAGTAAGCAAGGCTAGAACAGCATCTCTTCAGCTACTTCAGGCTGAAAAAAAAATCTGACACCATGACCCTCATTTTCAGTAATGTGAGCATTCAGCTCCCACTTGCAACACTGAAATTCAGGCCACAAATCTGTTCCTTTTTATGCCTGCAGATGGTTGCTTCATCTCCCTACAGATGGTATCATGAAGCCAAGGCAAGTGGCTTTCATGAAGGCTACTATTTCACAAAATTTGATACAATCTGAAGTGTGGTTTTCCAAGGAAAGACAGAAGGCTGTAATTGTGGCAAAAAAATTTTTATTAAACTAGATTTTGTAAATTCCTTTTCACATTAGAAATTCTAAATGCAGATTACAAAACTATTTCAGTAAAAAATGAAAGTTATAGTTAACAGCAAAATTACAACTTTATACAAATAAAAAAATCATTTTTCATTTTAATTTAAAAATAGAAATTTATATCTTCCAATATACTTAGTGGTCCTAGCAGCTCTTACAAGTGGTAGCTGCAATACTAAGTCTTTTCACATGCATATTCACATATAGTCATTTAATCCTCTCCACAATTTATTTAGCTGAAATAGCATGAACAGTTGGGCTTTAGTTGGGTTTGGGAGGGATGTACCACGTGATATTAAAAGCAAAAGCCAAAGTATCTTCAAATATTTTTTAATATAACATTTTCTTCCTACTACTTTCACAATTTTTCAACAGTCACGTTACTTCAGACAACTTTCCACATTGCACCTCTGGGCCTTTTTTTTTTTTTACTGTAAGATCACCCATCAATGTTAGCACAAGCATTAATTTTGTACATTAAAAAAAAGGATAAATTTTCCTAAATTAAAATTTGGGATAACTATTAAAATGTTTTGTAAAAAAGACACCAAAAGTCATATATTAAAGTCATCACAATCACATGCTGTTGAAGAACAGAATAAAAAGTGTTACACAAAATAGGTATTTTAACAGGTGCACGTTATTTTAGAGTGCTGGTGGCAATACTGCTGTTTTAATTAAAAGTGAAAGATGATACAGAATTTACATGATACTTCAAGATTCTCACTGATGTAACTGTAAAAGACATCATAAAGGTTAAAACTTCTAAAATGTAACCTACTTTAAAATACCATTTTGAAACAATTATATTTCATAGAATTCATCACAGAATACATTATAAAAATAGTCAGAGAAATAAAACAACTCCAGTGTTGTTTTTCTGGAATACTGGCAAGTAGCTGAAAGCATGAAGATCCTTACTGATAAAACTCTGCTTACTTACTCACTGTGCACTGAACTCCTGCTCCATTCTGCATCAAGCTCAGCACACCTTCTAAGCACATGTTTGAGATCCTACAGAAGAAAAATCCTGAGCTCACTGTATTTTCTCTTGAGTTGGAACTGCAATGCCTCATCTTGAGTTGCTGAAGCTGACAGAGGCTCTGTCACTATTTTCAATAGAGGAAAGACTGGTTCTGCCCATGTTACAATTTTAAACCATCATCTTCCATCAAAGTTCAGCTTGCAGTAAAACAACTTATACTAGGTGAATGATCAACCTGTAACTAGACAGGGTATTCAGAATACTTTAGTGAACCTCAACCTGTACCCAAAAGGACAATTAAAAGAGGAAGAGAGAAAAGTACCCCAAATGGCTCTTAAGCTGTGTATTTCTCTGCTTTGACAGACTGAAAAAAAATTCTCCAAGCAGTGGGTGAAACAATGGAGGTTTTGCCCTGAACATTTTAAACCTATTTATCCAAGTAGGACTAAGAGATGGAAAAATAATATGGAAGGACACTGAAGCTCAGCGAGGACAGCTGCTTTTCTGAAGAGTCCTAACCCACTTTCAGAGACTGTTTATGAACTATGAAATTCTTCAACCTCATTTGTCCCCTTGATCTCCCACTCTTAGCTTGCAGTGGCGATTTTGAAAGATGCTCAGGAAGTGGTGACTTCAAAAATAGCCCCAAGCACATTGGTCAGAGCATTTTCTGGGGAAGTGAGAGTCAAGTGCCATCATTATCATCCACTTGTGAAGCCAGAAGGCAAAAAGCTGAGTGTTTCTTATCTCCAGGGTAAAGTTGTCAACTAGATTATGATGAACAGATGGGCAAGACAACAACTTTTTCTGCTCATCTTTTGAAATAAAATCTGAACTGTTTTTGTTCATGTCGGGAATGGTATGAATATGCTTGAATGAATCAGGCTCCCCCCCAAAACAACCAGAAGTGTTGGTACTTTCCTGTTTACAAGCACATCGCTTGAGCACCCAGAAGTTCAACACTCAACAGCCACTCAGGCCAGTCAACTGGGTTGGTATTTCAAAGAGCTGTCCCAGAGAGCTGCACCCTCATTTGTTATAAACAGTAGCACTACGGAAAACCTGTTCAGGAGCATAAGGAAGTTCCTTGGTCAACAAAAAAGATCCTAGCTCTGCTGGGACAAGACAGCTGGTAGTCTGAACTGTCGTCTTGAGGCCAACTGCCTAAATGGCACCTCCGTCCATTTTAGGCACTGTCACAGAGGATGAAGTGTGGGCTTCATCACACAGGATGTCGTGCAGTGGTAGAAACACCTCTGCTAGTGCTGTTTGGGGAACACAGGTCTTTTGAATTGCACCACTGGTTACCAGAGCAGCCCCAAGAGAAAGAAACAGAGAAAGGACACAATTCAGATGAACTAAGTACCCACAAAAAAATATAAAACTTGTTATGGTAGACTGTTATTTTTAGAAAGAGTCCCTTTGATTAAGTATTACTCAAGCTACTCTTCCACTTGAAATCACCATGAAAACATTATTATATCTGTTGAAGCACGACAAACTCATTTTTAAGTCTACTGTGCATTATATTCACTGTGTATGTATCACAGTAAACAGGGGTACTCAGGAAACACCATGTTTTTCAGCTTGTCAGCAACTTACACAGACACATTTTCAAGTGAAATCTATTTCTGTGGACAGCTTTTCTCACAGAAGTTCCTTGCTTATTAATACCCATGCACACAAATGGCAGAACTTGCACACACATATGGATTCATACACAAACTCTTATGTGTGTGTAGGTCCTGCAAAAATGGTTAAAAACTTTAAAAACGCTCCCATTAATCTTTAACCTATTAATATTATTCCTAATACACAACTCAGACCTGTTCTGAAAAAGCCTTACAACAAAATAAGTATTTTAAGAATATGAATATTTCAAGAGGCAAAGATGTAAATAAAAGTAGTAATGCATTCTAGAAGATATTTCTATTAAAAAAAAGTGTTCTGATTGTCTACTGGAAATACTTGCAGAAGTACAGATGTTTATATTTCATTGTTGGAGGGGTTTTGTTTATGGTTTTTCTATGTTGGTTTGTGGTTTTTTTACACAGATATTTCTTGATGCTGATGCAACACCACCAAAACCAGAACTTTTGTACTCCCAGACTTTCCAGTTAGGCAATTACCAATGCAGTATTAGTATTCACTTTGGTGTTAAAAATACATTTAAAATGTCTCATGATCATATTTTCTACAAGGAAATCACCAAACTTAATACACAGTGAATGAAGACATCACTATTAGACACTTATTAAGTGAAACAGAACTCAATTTGGTTCTCTTAAAAAGCCATAAAGGTAAGGGCAAAAATGTAAGGGCATTTCCTGCAAAATTACAGTATTAGCCATGTGTAAGAAGAGACTGAACTACAGCATTGTGGGTTTCCCTTTAACAGATCACATTAAGTCTGCACAATTACCAAACACACAGCTGGTCTTAATGCACAGGCCATTCTATGCAACTCCCAGACCTGGGAGAAGTTTAGAATGGAATAAAGACCATAGAACAAGTCAACCCATCACAGCAACATAACCACTAAACCAGGTTTCTTTTGAAGAAACCTGGAAATATTTAGCACTCAGCTGTAACTGTATTTGAAATATCAGTAGTTACCCAGTTTCACCTTCTCCTTTTGTTCTTCTGAAGGGTTTAGCACAAAGTTCTGAATCACAAAATAACTGCACAAGGTACTATGTTTTAAAAGCACAGAAGCCACGGCAATCAAAATGTGTGAGAGTCAAAAGAAATAGATTAGGTATGCTGAGAAGACAGTAATATTTAAAAGTTGTACCTTAACTTCCCTTTAAAACATCACATATTTCTCAGCAAAATTCTTGATCTGCATTTCTGAGACTTCAAATCCTTTAAGCATCTTCTTTTTGCACGTTCAAAAAAGGATCCATTTCACACAAAAATTTTATTGGAAACATTTTGACAAAACCACTTACTGTAAATCGAAATAATTTCTAATAAAATATCATCCTTTAAAACAGATTACAAAATACTAGTACAGTTGTTCAAAAAACATCGGTCTTTTTTCTACAATCCGGCTGTAATCCAACACCTCAGTTTCTATATTCCTCTTCTCCACAACTCCTCAAATGAGCATGACTTTCAGGCAGCCTGGTTTTATTTCTGTGAACCTATAAAACAAGAAAAAATGAAGCTTCAACATGAAAGCTACGTGCAATGCCATCTCCTTCAATCTTCAAACATACGGAAAGTGGTAAGATTCTCGGTCAAGTATATGGGCATGTGAGTCAGGAAATCAGCATCATGTCCTCAGATGTGACAGTAAAGGAGGATTTTACAGGATCTGGAGATGCAAGGAGCTGGAAACACCAGAAACTAAGATGAAGATTTAAGAAAAAGCTGCCTGATGTTCTTGGTTATATTAATTTTGCTCCTCTATTCCTGCTCCCCATTCACTCCCTCTTCTTTAAGAATGGATTTTCACCCTCGTATTCTGTAGAAAGTAAGAAGGAAATCAGGACAGAAGTCTGTTTTATTTTTGAGTCACCTTCACACTCACCTTCACATACAGCGCTCTAGAGAAAAAGCAGCAAACACACTGATGCTGACCTAGACTTGCTAAATTGCTATCCCCCGTAAACTGAGCACTAAGGCAGGTATTGAGAACCAATAGAAAGCAGGATTAACAACTTTTCATAGTAAAGACAGCAACCTCGAATGGAAATATGTAGTTGAACTATCTCAGAGGAAAGGATCTAACATTTAATAGGTGCCCCATATGAAGTGTTATTGTGTCACACAACTGCACTGGATTTGTGAAACAGCAAATTTACTTTAATCTGAAACAGACGACCTGCCTTAATCTCTGTAGTCGCTTAATAGTATTCTAAAACTAACTTCAATTTTCAGTTAGTTAAATGTGGGTTAAGAAAAAAAAAATGTATCAGTAACAAAAATCTAAACTCACCTGAAGTTGTGGGTTGTGAGGTATCTGATAGCTGCTGGTCTGATGCGAGCAACTCCTCCCTGACTATGGCTTCCTCTTCCCGTGATGACAGTGAGATATGGTTTACCACCAGTCTGCTGGTGCTCTGTAACAGCAGGAATTGTAACGGTTAAAATTTTCCCTCAGCAGAGACTTGGCATTCAGTATACACCTTCCATGCATTCTTCTGAAAACTCTCACTCTTGATTTAGAGCTTTGTCTTCCCATGCTGGCTATGCATGTTTTACGTAAAAAGAGCCATTTTTCCTCTGTTCTGATAAAGATACTCTGAAAAAACAAATACAGTCAATCTTTTTAAATCTAGAGTGCTTGTAATATGCATGTTGTGATCATGACAGAATCCTTCTAATTTCATAGCAGCTTTACTGTTTCTAGCATCTAATATTTAATTGGAATTTACATCCTGTGATATAAATTTAAATTGCAAAATTAAAAGAGGTGAGTGTAATTTACTCAATTTTTAAGTGACACTGCATTGTTTCACAATGTATCTTATTAAATTAACGTGAGTAAAGAAATAACATTTTATTGAATAAAGAATAAGAAGAAAGAAAACATAAATCCAGCATTTTTGACATTTAAATCACGCTTATTTGGACTATCTTCTGCTACACTGGAGCATGAGAATCAACAGATCAAAACATTACATGAGCTGTATCTAGCCATGAAAACAAAAGAAACTGCTCTCTTCCCAGAGATAACATCAACCTCAATTGATGAAGTGTTTGAAAAAGAGGAAAAAAATAAATTAAACTGGATTCTCAAAACTAGCCAAGATTTGCCAGTTTGGAATTATCAGTTCACATGACATCTTTCCTCAACTACCCCCTCTCTCTCGCATAACTTTATTTAGGTTTTATATCAGTTTACTGCCACCAGAAAGTTCCTAGTATTGATCCCTTTCCCATGTCCATACACTGAAATTAACCCTTTTTTTTTTTTTTTTTTTTTTTTAAGATTTAGGTGAATGGACTGCACAGAGAGCCACTACTATCAATTCCAGGACTCCTGACATAAATGCAGTTCTGGAAATTTAGCTCTAAAAAGCATTAGGTTACAGCTTAAATTACACAAATGTAATTGCAGGAATAGCACAAGATAATGCAATTTACTGCATATTGAAAGTAAAAGGATTATCTAAGGCCCCATGAACACTTTTGTTTATACTCTGTGGAGTAGTGGATTCAGAAAATCAGGTTTGTGCAATAGTATCTTGCGTAAGAAATACTTCTTATAAAAGCATTCTCAGTGTGCTTAAATTTACAGGGTAAACTAGCAACGCAGAAAACGTATCTTTTTACAGCAAGCACACTCATGAAGTACTTGAACACTCCACTGCAAGAAAAAAATGAGCCCTCAAGCAAAACTGCACAAAATGACACATCTGGGAGCAGCAGTACTCTGATCTCACGAGATCCTGCTGACAAACTGATAAGAGAATTTTCTGAAAGATGGTTCAAATCACACACTTTAATGTAAAAGTTAAAGACAATATAATCATTGTGGTTAGAATTCCAACACAATAATTTTTCTTTAAAGATTAAAAAGCAACATAGTCCTGACAAAGTAAAGCAGAGATGAAACAAATGTTTGCATTATCACCTCGGTCAGAAATGTCAGGAAGGACAGACCAAGTGTTCAATTAAAAAAAAAAAAAAGCATAAAACAGGAGGAATATTTACAAAGAAGTACAGGGTTGGGAGTAGAGTGCAAGACAGAAAAAACCAAGAATCATTGTCCTGTCAAAGATAAACAAACCATGGGGTACTTTGAAAATAAGACAACACAAAGCCTGGTTGTTTTTAACAGACGGTATTAAATTAAATCCATTCCCTCTAATATTGACATGTATCATGATTTCTTAGTAGAAAAGGAGGAAAATAATTCTTAGGGAGCAAGAATTATTACCTAAACCCTACCTTCACTTTTTTCCTGCAGCACTCTGGACAACTGATTCACAGCTTCATCCACATGGAGACCATGCAAATCCAACACATTCATAGGCAGCAGTGAAGTATTTACTCTCTCAAAGATTTGCACAGCAGCAGCATGGTTGGCTTCCTTCATCTTCTGCTCATGAAGGCGACTCTTTATTCATAAACACAGTGACTGTTACACACCAAGACATAATCTAAGCTCCACACTGGTCATTGGTTTCAAAACGACAGGACTGGCAGGGTTCTTTTAGCTCACAGTTCGAAGCAGTAAAATTTATAATCGCAACAGAACTTCTGCAAGAGGCTCAGTGAGACCTACTCACAAGGAGATTTCATGAGACCTGTTCATAAGGAACTACTCAAAGCTGGCACAAAGAAGGAATCATAACAAAAGCCTTACAAGGAAAAAAAAAAGCCAGAAAAGGTACATAACCGTAAGCTGGATGTTAAATAACATAAGCTAAAAAGTTACACTCCACGCTGTTCCTGATTTATTTTTATAACAACAGATTATTTTCTGCAAGTATTTTACTAAGATTGTAATGAAACAATGTCACAGAAACTGCCCAATAGCTAAGGAAAAACCTGTTGACTGTTACATTTGAGGTTAAGTCTTCTGAACGCATTCCCTAAATTTCAGACAAGCCAAGGGTAAACACTTTTCTTTTTTTTTTTTAATAGTTGCCCATTATCTCTCCTAATACTTTTCACAGATCTTTTATGACTGACAAGGTCAATATAGCCCCTTCTGGAACAAGGGGCAAGAAGCAGTACAAAATTAGTCATCTTACAGAGTGAACAACTATCAACTACTTCCCACGAAACTTGCAGTGATAAAGTCTGAGAGATCAAAGCTACAAATTATTTCCTTGAAGATCTGTAGGCACAGCGTGAAATGGAATGGAAGACTTAACTCCAGGTATTAGACTGACATGGGCTCAAGAGAACAAAAGTGACAGTCTGTCTTACACTTTATTAAAATGGATCATCTGAAGTGTAATGGTGTCAGAACCAAGACACCAGTTCTGTAACTCTCACTTGCAGAGGATTCCCAAGACAAAGGCCACCAAGCATAAAGTATTTTTCATGAATAAAGGTAGCTTAGTTTGCCTTTTTGTTACCTAGATGAAAGTATATAATAACTACATTTCCAGATTGTATTTGTTCAGATGGCTGAGAACAGTAAAAAAGAGAGGACTTTAAATTAGATTTCAATTTAAAATCATGCAGACCTTTGTTTAGAACCTCTCAAACTTCAAGAATGCATGAATTAAGAACATAAAAGTTCATTATAAAGACTGATAATCAGTATTTTCTGCATGCACAGTAACAATCTAAACATTTAGAATTATACCACTTATGTGAGAGTTTTCTTAATAAAAAAATTCAAGTGATTCATTAGTACATCTTTGTTCTGTTATAATGCAGTTCATAGGTTAGAATTAAATGACTCTATAACGTGAATTCTTACCAAATTTTTATATGATATTAGATCAGGGAAATACTGTTGCCTTTGAAGACATTTGTAAAAGAATTTTTAAGAGTGGTGTGAATAGAAGGGTGTCCTGTGAAGGCACTAAGAAACCAGTTACAGGAATGCTGGTTACAAGAACAGTTGATACTTAAAATCAAGAATATGATCAACTGCAATGATCAGCAGTAATCAAACTGGTATATAGAGAGAAATGGGGCTGAACAAGACCAGAGAGCCTGTGCTCCAAGGCCAGAGCACACAAGACCGATCAGCAGCAGATCTACATGCCAAAACCAGATGGATCGTGGAAAGCCTGACATACCACACCTCCTTTATCCCAACCCAAGACAGACTGTAGCCATAAAGATAGACAAAAAGAAGAAGCAAAGACAGCAGGCAGCAACCTTGCCCAAGATTTATGAGGATGAAGCAAGCAAGATTCTGTGCCAAAAGATCACGTCTTAATACCTGTCTGACTCCTAAACAGTACAAAAGACTAAAAACAGTTCAGCACCAATTAAGAGGAACCCAAGAGATATACAGAGGATTCACAAACTGATGTTTGTTGCAGTACATGTCACACCCCAGTGAACCTGGCCAGACCACATGGACACAAATTTTGGTGCTTACAAGTTTGTGGATGAGAGAGATCTAGGACAACAGAACATGTGTGACTAAGCACTAAGTATCACCTTTTGTGAGGTCTCACACTGAAACTGGTTACGTAGCTTCCTGTACCAGTATCAATTTTATGAAAAGGAGTTTACTAATGATTGTCACTATAACAGTTACATAGGGAACAGTAATTGAGCAAATATATCAGCTCTAGCAGGCACAATGTTTTCCTCATCACTGCCAATTCAGCATTTAAGTACCTCCCTAAATTCAGACAAAAAGCACAATATTTAAGTTTACCTGATGTGCATAAAATGCTGCCACAGGCTTCATACCCATCCGATAGGCCTCCCCAGCCTTTTTCAAACATTCTTTTCTCTTTTGCTGGTGACAAAAAGCTTCTGCTCTTAAATCATCATATTGTGGGTACTCAAAGTCTTGAAATATTTCACTCAAAGGATCATCCTCTTCCTTACTTTTTTTTGCCTGTAGGAATTTGCAATGTTGAAGGTAAGTATGCATTGCAGAATGTTTTCATTAACATAGCTTTGGATATCCTTATAAGTACTATTTAGAAAAAAATAAAAATACCTTCTTCTCCCGATTCTTTGCACTGTAGGAAGTAACAACTTCATTTTGCTGAACACTTTCTTGAGCTATAACTGTTTTTACAGGATCTGCCTCCAGGACACAGTTCAGAAACTGTTCAGTTTGTTCTAAAGAGTAGCTGTAAAGGATAAGTAAAATCTGTGATCTCACTGTCAGAGACTGAAACAGTTAATGATTTACACATTCTAAGATCACCAAAAGACTTTTGCAAACTGAAAAGAAGCAGCTGCTCACCCACCAAAGCCCACCCCTCCCTGAATACTGCCAAAGGACCTTCAGATCAGATCAGTGGGTGCCAGCATCTGCTATCCTGGGTGCAGATGCCTGTCTGAGGAAGGGAAGAGGCTAAGAGGCAAGTCCTGCAAGGCAAGAAAATCCCTTTTCTCATGCCAATGTCCTCATCTAGCCGATTCTTCAGTGTCATTTCACTCTAATCCATCTCAAGGGATTTATTAATAAGAACCTGGGTTACCCTCCCTTTCTGGGGCGGGTCACAACACAAATATATAACAGGCGCTACATTTAACAAAATGTATATTACAAACCTTGATATTGTGTAACAATGGATTACATTGGAAATAAAGCCCTGGAATGGAATATTCCACTGGAACAGAATATTCCACCCTATTGCAAAAAGGCTTGCAGGCTTCCTGGCATTACTGGCGTCAACACACACGCAGTCTTGGTTGACTGAATCGTAATTGAGGGGCACTTGAATATTAAAAGGAAAATGACATACTAAAGTAAATTGCATCCTACCTTGATCAAAGACATATAAGTAAATGCTGCTTTTTGGGTTGGATAAGATACTTTATCTGAAATCTTCTCTGGTCAGGGTTAGATAATACATACTAATTTAAAACTAGCTCAAGTTTTCTGAAACCTTTATGAAGGAAAATCCTTGTATTTTTAGTCAAGCTTTGTTATCAAATTTAATTAAATTCTACATCAGTTGCCATCAGCTTTCTAATAAGCCCTCTTCCTTCTTTATTCTTCTTGCTGTCCAGTAAGCTAACAAGAAAAAGACTGATCAAGAGTAAAGACCGATTTTGCAAAATGCAACACTATAAAGAGAATTTAGAATGTGAAAAACAAGAGATGGTGAAATGTTTGAGCTACAAAGATGGATGCAGGACGTATTCTAAACAGGAAAGATTTTTATAACGACCTGGACAAGCAGAATGACTGAAAGGTAGGCATGCAAACCCATGTGTAGAGACAGACATTCAAATGGCTGAGGATAAAAAAAAGACATTTTTCTCCAAAAAAAGTTCAGTTCTCAGAAACCTGGATTTAAGAATGTAGACATGTACCCCCAAAATATATTGCAAAAAGAGAAAGAGAACATCAGCAGGAAGAGATGGAGAGATGGCTCATTCCTTCAGAGCTCCCGTAGTAGCCAGGAAAGTACTCACAGCTAACATCAGGTGATGGTACTTTTCCTCTTGGGCAGATGCCATTTTCTGTGAACTTATTATTACCACACCCACTAATTTATTCCACTTGATTTAAATCTCAGTTTGAGCAAATATGCAGTTACACTGACAGTCCAACAGGGGTCAATAGCCAGAGACATTCTTCTCCCAATGAAAGAAACTGTCTATTCTCCCCACACACACAAAAAAGGAACAAGTCTATATAGAGAGTTTTTAATGCCCTTTTTGCCTTTAAGACCACCTAATTTTACCTTTATTTAAATTACTAAAAAGTGTGCTAGTTTGGAAAAAGCCAGTTTTTAGCAGTATCTTAACTCTTAATATTTAAGACAATAACTCAGCACTATAGAATGTTACTGAGCACCATTTTTACAAAAACCTGTAAAGATTTCTTACTTGTTGTCCCTGAAGATATCCATTAAGAAACTCTGATTAATAGTTGGAAACATCTCAAAAAGTTGCTTCTCCTTTAGTTTAGCAGCACAGTCTTTTCTAGCCATAGAAGGAACACGATTCTACCCAGAAGACAAAAGAAAAATATTGCAAGTTCTTGATTAGAACAAAATATTGTAACAGGGAGCCAATCAACTTTAGTGTTATTTGTTAAGATTTAAAAAATATCTATCAGCTGGTATGCACCCACAGCAATGACAACATGCCAGTATCAGCCTGCCACACTGATCAGCATAAGTAAGGACAGGTGAGTTCTATTATACACCACTGCAGTACTCAGCAATCATTTGAAGTTATGCAGCTGGAGCTCCCTCATAACTTGGACAAAGTAAGAGGAGGATTTTTTTAGGAGGAATTTAAGTTTTAGAATTTATTCCCTGCTAGTCTATCTAGTCCACTGCTAGGCTTGTGCAAAGTCCACCTCTCTTCACTATACTGAAGGCCTGGGGTTGAAACAACATTTTATTATTAAGCAGCTTAAACAATTTTGGCTTGCTGTATCTGAAGCTCTACTGTAATAAATATTACTTATGAACTCATCTGAGAAGGTGACATAGTTATAACCCAAAATAAATCGGACTCATCATTCCGATATTGACAAAAAAAAAAAAAAAGTGGTCAAAATAAAGCCAAGCTCCATGAATTCAAACTGAAAATAAAGCTGCGGACATGACACTTGTTTTTATCAGTAGGCCACATACATGCAGTTCAAAGAAAGAATCCACAAGCCATTTTTCAAAGTATAGGCTAATCCATCCAACTTTCTATACCAGTTCAAAGCTCCTCTTTTTTAGGACAGCTGCTTATCAGAGACAATTACAAATTGAAACGCCTGTTCTGAACACCAGCAGGGCAGCAGAGGGCAGTATTAGGCATAGACCAACAGGCAGGGTATGGGAACCATACAGAAAATAAAGATCCAGTAAAAACATATTAAAAATTTACTATTTTCTGACAAGGGGGTACAGAAACTTGTTTGAGATTAACCTCAAGTACTTATTTTAGTGTTTCATCTGCTAGAAATGTTGTGGGTTCTCCTTACAAAACATTACAATCAATTCAACACACTTTTAAACAAACAAGGCATGGAGCCAATTAAGAACTTTTTTTTGATATTGCTGTCACAATAAAAAGCCTGGCAAATCACACTGATCTTTGCTTTTGGGTGAGCAATCAAAAAAAATTCAACCAAACACAAATGCTAACCTGTACAGCGAAATGCACCATGATCTGTTCGTGAAACAATCAAAATATTACTTCCTAAATGAGACTGTATTTTTCAAACAGAACCATCTATGAAAAGCAAACTCCTGTATTACAGTAATCAACAATGCTAATTGGCATGCATTTGTCTCAGAAATTCAGGCTGTAATCAGCAGCACCAATATGAGTCACCAAAAAGTCATATTCTGTTTTATTACTAGTAGTAAATCTAAACTGCATAAAAAACAGGCACTATCCATACCATGTCCTGTTTCTCCTGCATAGCTAGTTCTTCAGAAATTATCTGCCTGAGAGAAACTTTCTGAATCTGAGCATTCCAGTGATCCATAAAAGGGAAAACGTCTGATGTTGCTGTTTTTTCATCTGTATGTCATTAGATGTGCCTGAAGCCCAGCTCATTTTTTTCTTCTGTATTTTACTCTCTGCATTCTGAGATAGCAGCATTTCTGAGTCATCTGTATCTATTTGCTGAATCACAGTAGGACCTTCAAAAGCAATAAAAATGAGGTGACAAATAAAATACTTATTAGCTTTTATATACAAGCAATGCAAAATAATTAAGACAAGTTTTCTAACCTAGACAGTTTAAGTTTTGTTAAAAGAAGATTATTAATGCTAAACCAGAAACCAATTCATTGTTTTCACCTTCCTCACTTCCATTTTACAGACTGTCTGATCATCTTTATCTACATTGTGAAACAAAAGCAAAACTGTCATAGTTCCTCACCAAATTTTCAAGTGATAGGATGTATCTTACAGCTGTAAACTACCTTGTAAACACCTTTAGTGTGTGTGTGGAGTTGTCTGCTTTTATAAGAGAATCTCTACGAGTTAATGGCAACAGCTGAATGAAAACTGGGGTTGCCAGAGATGTTAACACTTTTTGAACAAAGCAACCACCTTCCTGCTATGATCATCTTTGATAAAAACATGAAAATATTGCATTTCTGACCTCCCTCCCTCATCTGCAGGAATCTTACTCTGCTAGTTATTCTGTGACCACATCTTTTGTTGTCACAGATATTACAGAAGTCACCAAACAGCTGTCTGGTTCAGCCAGAGATCCTTTTTAAGTTGTCTGAATTACACAAAATTATAGGCTTTATGCTTGCATCTACCTAGTAATAGTGATTCTGCTTATAATTAACCTCTCTCCCCTCCCCCACACCTCCATAAGAGAAAGGTAAATGGATCCAAGGGCAGTAAAGTTTAGCTTAATAAATGAATCCATCATTTTTCAGACAGAATATTTGCAATCTTATTTAAGATTCAAAGAATCAAATATTTTTATAAGGACACTTAAGTATTTTTACAATTAAAGAGAAATACACAACATACTTTCTGCAAACAACTTACATGATTCATCTCTCCTCTGACGTTTCTAAATAAAAATAGTAAAATCATTAGTTATAAGTTATAAATTTCACAGCAAAACTTCAAGTAAACTTTTAAGTTTCTAAGTAAGCCAGCTACAAAATAAGATCTCACAGTATTTCTCAAAGATCCAATATTTTAAAATAAGTATATTTAAGAAAAGTAATTATGAAGTGGAATTTATAAGCTAGAACTATTTTTCTGAAAACACAGACTAGAGGAATATGCCCCACTGCTAAGACTTCAAAACCTTAATTAAATAAACCAAACAAAAACTTTGGCCCAAAACACTCCAAGTTTCATATAGCTATGGAGGAACACAGGTTGGAGAACTCATCTCAATTATGCACATGGAGATGTTTTGTATATGGAATAATTAATAAAAGGATTCTTTTTATATGTAAAAAAAACCCAGTAATAATTTTTGGCCAGTAGAATTTTTGATCAGTTTGGAATGAAATTGTGCACTATCATCCTTCTTTTTAAAGAATCTTGGTTTCAAGATGAGGTACTCATGACATACCTTAAACTTTCAACAGCTCTGATGGTTATGACATAATGATATACTCCATATATTTTAAATTACTATTATATTTTATCACTGTTCTTGCGAAGATCTTACACATTTAGACCAAGAAATATGGAGATGAATGGTCTGACAAAGCACAAGTGTGCCATACCACATCACAAGCAAGAAATCTACTAACCAGAATAGATTCTTTCCATTTTTCATGAATCACTTTTGCCAAATTTAGATCAATGTGAACCACACAATCCTCAACAGTCAGTGATCCTTGTGGGACAAAGAAAATATATTCATTAAAGTATTCTATAAAGACTTATCTAAGCAATTAAAGTACAATAGCTAGGACTTATAAATTCTAGTTTTGGAGATCCTGCACAAACTGTCATGCTTGAATAAAACCAGAAACTGCCAAGTTCAACAATAACAAAAAAAGCATTCCACAGAAATTGTTATCTGGTATTCCAAAACTCAAAAAAGGTAGGAAAAAAGCAGATTAACTTTAATTGTATATTGTCAAAATGTGACTACCTGAACAATGGCATTTTTTCCTTTTTACTATTTTTCTAGCAAAATCTTCTTTTACAAAGCCCTTGTTAATTTACAACAACAGTTTCATTCGTGAAACTGTGACTCCCCCTATTCCACTGCAATCCACATGGCAACTGCTTTTCTCTACCTCATTATACCCACCACAGCCCAACATCAGTCACATCCCTTCTTTCAAACACACAAACTCAGAGAGGCAAATTCCAAATACCACCTCTAACTGAAAAGGAAATGGCAGGAATCACCATGGTATCATAATGATACATCTTTTCCCTAAAAGATCTTTCTGATACTGTTTCTCATCCTTTAAAAAATAAAAAAGCAGAAAGTACTTATGTGTCAAATAAAAATGCAGGGCATATTTCAGACACAATAGAACACTATTCTGCTACAGGAAACAAACTGTTTCTTTTGATGAGGTAGGCATGGAAGGTAAAGAGGTCAGTCAAATCAGTCTGTAACTTTTGAGATGCTTGTTCAAGCTGCTTGTGGCTTCCTTAATCATAATCTCCCAGCAGCATAGTCTGTTTTCGTCTTTTAAGTATAGCCACACTTCATCTTCTCTCTAAACCATTTATCTTCTCCTTCCCCAACTTTACTGATGCCTAAAGCTTTCTTTTTTTCTTTTTTTTCCCTAATCGACCACAATTTGCAAATTCCTCATCATCTTAATATCTCTTCAGCTTGAACAAAGGCTCAAAGGCCTGTTGCTCAAAATGCAAATAAGTCCATATATTTTCTTATTATTTTAAAGGATGTACATGTACAAAAAGACAAAGGCAAAAGGTAGCATTACTGCTACCTGCATTTATATTTTATGCCACGCTTAATTCAGTTCCACTTTTGGCTTAACAATAGCAAACAGTATCATGAAGAATTACACAAATCTATTCCCTAAAACTGAAGTATGAAGGAAAAAAAGCACAGGCAAATAAAGAAAGGTTTTTTCATAAAAACATGGATATAATTATGCCCATACCTGCATCAATGCCAACAGGCCCAAATATCTCTTTCAGCTGGAGTGCCAGTTCAGGAGGTAATGTTAGTTCTAGACAATCTATATTGAAAGCTGCATGTGATCCTGGGCTTTGTCTCTTGGCTTTAGCTGCAGACCAGCTTGGACTTTCAATTTCTTCTTTACCACATAACTCCTCAGTACTTTCCTGGGTTTCTTTATCTACCTCCATTTCTTTATCGCTTCTAGGACAGACCAGAAGGGCATGATCCATCCCCAGTAACGAAGCAGTCACTTTGGAATTCTCTGCATTGCTTTCTGAAGGATTAATGTCACTTTCATCATTTAATTCAGTACAGAAGCCTGCATCAAGTTGTAAAAGTGATGGCTTATTTACAGTTTCTTCAACAAGCCTCTCGGACTCTACAGTTTGCTTTCCTGAAGTGGACAGCTCAGTGACACCAGCTGCTGAGTTGCATGTGTCAGTTCTACGGGCTGCATCCGTGGAATTTTTCAGTTCCCCTGAATCATTCAGTGAGGTAGCAGTGAATGAGTCAGACACATCAGCATCTGTCACAACTGCCTTGGCAGCCCTACTTTCTGCAATGCTGAGTGATGAGTTCTTGTCTTCTGAAGCCTCAGAGATACCACCAGCCCCAATTACTTGTGTCGTTTGTTCACTGTCTTTGAGATTCTCATCATAGTTTGTACTTGCCTTGAAATCAAGGTCTGCGTCAACTGGCTCAACTTCTCTCACTTGAAAGCATTCGGTATCAACAGCTTTGCACAGCTTTTCTTCAGAGTCTAACAGCAAACCTGTGGCCCAGTCTATGTCTTTGTTACATCTTTCATAGAGATCTTTCAGAGCTTCAAATGAAACAGACTCAAAAAGCTTACACAGCGTATCCAGCTTTTCAGAGTCATCAATACTGGTAAGTTCACTTTCTTCTACAAATGTACTTTTATCATACGTAACTCGATACGGTATTTTTTCCTGAGAATCTGAGGCATTATCTATGTGTTTGGGTTTGAAGCCATCTAGTCTGCCATGCAATACTTTGGCAGTCTCAGGAAAAAGCATTTTCTTTTCTAATCTCCACAGAAGAGCAAAGTCCTGTGATTCAGTCTGTGAATAGCTGCTTTTTTGTCTACATAAGCATGTGTCCTGTTTCTCTTCTGTTGCGTTAAGGTTAGACAAGAGGTCCTCTTCTTTGGGATGGGGCAAAATGTTGTTTGTAAAAGTGAGGGCTAACCTGTGATGCTTCTTTGTTCTCTTATTTTGCTGGCTTTTTTCCTCACCTACTGTTTCACTGGCTACTATTTCATCTTGGTGCAGAGGAAAACTCTTTATATCTGGTTGCTCTGCAGGTGTCCCACAAAGCACATCTACAGTCTCAAGAGCATTTATGTCAATGTCACCTTCAGTATTTCTACCTTCATCGGACTGATTTGTCGTTCTCATTCTCCTTGACCTTTGTTGTCTCTGTTCTAATGAGGCTGAGATAGGCCAATGTCCTCCCATTTCCAATTCCAGTGTAACTTTATCTGAACTAACAGAGGAGCAGCTAGAGTCTAGATTTTCTTCCTCATGTCCTTTCTCAACACTACATGTCTCAGGCAGGCCCACTTGCTCTTTACCTATCTCAGTATGCTGCCGACTTTGAGTTTCACCTTCCTTATCACTCTTCAGAGAAGATTTTTCTAGTCTTCTAGATCTTTTGACTCTCTGTCCCATTGTTTGTTCTACAGGCCAGTCACCCAGGAAATTCAGTAGTTCGGGTTTTCCTGATGTGTCAGCAGCTGAACTGCTTGGTTCCACTGTGTTACTAGTTTGTGTTGATTTTGGTTCCACACATACGGAACCCGATTGTTCAACTGCAGTTTGCACACTGACAGTGTTGTTATCACTGTGTTCCTCAGCTCCTCCTGTATGCACAGTCTCTTCAGCTGTGATCACAGCAACTTCATCTATTTCTGTTTCAGGATTTTTTTCTGCTTTTTCTCCCTTTTCTTCTTTCTTCTCCAAGGGCAGCTCTTTTTCGATGCACTCTGATAAACAGACTTCCAATTCATCTTGAACAGCGCTGTTCTCAGAATTGTGTCCCACTGAGTTATTTTCCATTTCTTTTTCCTCTTGCTGAAAATGTTCAGGATCACAGCTACTTTCTAATGTTAGAGAAGTACTGGGAGAAGTTTTATCAACTTCAGCTAATTCAAGAGGCTCCACATCAGAAGCAAAAGGTGGTTCTTCCTTTGCATCAGAATGCGCCTCTCTCTTTCTGAAACACAAAGTGGAATAATAGTGGAATAAAAGATAAATTTGTCCACTTTAACTCCAGTTAGAACTAGAGTAAGAGTTTAACTCTAGTTAGAACTCTAGTGAGAGGAAAATAAATTTACAACAACTTAGCCCTAACTTCAACACTCCTCTACAAAAAAAGAAGGAGCCAAGAAAAGATTAACTTTCCTTGGTAAGTATACCCTTCTTACTACAGCAAAAGACTAAGAACACTTTCTCAGGAGTTAATTCCTCCCCATTCCCAGCATTCAGTTATGTACTGAAGCACTCTGCTGCCAGATATTTCCTCATTCAGATAGCAAATCTGGTAAACATACTTTTATATAATGATTGTTGTTCTCTCCTGATGGGTTAATGCTAAATAAAGTCTAGAACTAGGAGAGGATGTGCCATTTCTTATCAAACCATTCTTCAAAATCAACTACATTCCATTAATTATCAGTGCCAGTGTAATTTCAAATACATTAAGCATGCAAAACCCAAATAAAATAATAACTACAATAAAATCTGGGTTCCATTCCATAAAATGATACACAGTATCATTCAGATTAGCCACTACAAAACAGTCATGCAAACAACCAACATAAGTCCAGACAAGCTTAAATTAAGCATACTGAAGAGCAAATAGGTAGCTCTGCACAAAGAATCCACCTTCTACCACAAAGACAACATCTAATACCAACATACAGATTCAGAAAAGGTAATTTGCTCCTATTTGGGACTACACTCTTCTAAAAAGCATTTTATAGATTTTAAGTGTTTCATATCTACAACATACATACAACAGCATATTTCTATGATAACAGAAAGTCAGTCAAGATTGGCTTCTTGAAAAGTAACACACAGCCATAATGGGAGGTTTTCAAAAAGCATTGGAAAGTGACTAGATCCCTTGACTACTCATTTCTAGAAATCCTGAAATTCCTAAAAATTAGGAAAACTATGTAGTGGGGTTTTTTTAATTATTGAACTGCCTTTTTTAATGCATTCACCATTCAACAGTATTATTCAGGTTCTGTTGCTATGAAGTCTGAATTTATAGCTTTTTATTTGAGGCTACAAAGCTAGTGAAAGGATCTAACCTATGGCTTTCCTCCTGAAAAGGATCTTCACTCCAACCAGCAGCTTCTGATTTGTCTGGAACTGAAGAATCCAGTATTGATCTAACAGTAAGGCAGCGTTCGTATCGTTCCAACATTCTTTTGATCTTTTCTTTAGATACACCATGAATGTTTCGTCTATGAATGGAAAAAAAAAAAAAGAAAAAGAAACACTTCAGGTTTGTGTATTACAATGACAGAAGAGAAAAAAACTAAATAACAATTTCATAAATTTACAGCAAGACTGATCAAAGAATTCATGGGGCCAGAGGAAAAGCTGTGAAACAGCAATTCTTTCTGTATCAGTGCATTCAAGCATTCCAAACAGGGCATCTCAGACAAACTGCTGCTCTGCTTGACTTCTCCACCCCACTTGGTGTCCCTGTACTGCAATGGGATATGTTGCATATTACTAAAATCTAGAACTTTGTCCATAATGCATCTTCTTCAAATAAGTTTCAGAAAAACGCCATATGAGATCCTGACAGTGATGCAGGATACCAAACTAGATATGGAAGATCTCTGAATTTAGTCTTCTTTCTCTGGTTTTGCTAAACTAAAAACTCCTGGAGCCTTGAGGAAAACCTATTCACCTATTATTTTGGACAGCAGTTGGCTTGAAATTTTTACTAACTGTTAAACACCAACTGGCACTGTGTTCTGCAGCATTTCCACCTAAAACAAGTGAATCCTGCCAAGGATGGCCAAACAGAAACTGGAGAGACAGGAGAAAAGGTTTATGATCTATTTTAAGAAAGAAACTAATCTTCCTTACCTCACTTAAAAAGCAACCAATCTTGAGCTAAGTATGCAAATTCAGATGACAACAGATGTTATGACATCACAAAATAACTTATGTTGAAAGGGACCTCTGGAGTTCACACACTTCAATCTGCTACTCAGAAGAGGTACAGGTAGATCAGCTTGCCCAGAGCTTTGTAATGTCAAATTTTGATATCCCAAATGACAAAGTTCACAAACTCTCTGGGCAAGCTCTTTAAGTACATAACCAACTTCAAAGCAAGTTTTAGGTTATTTTTCTTTCATGTAATAAAAATTTCTGAAGTTTCAACTTGCTGATGTTTATTTTGCCCTATCCCTGCAGAGTTCTTTTTCGTCTTCTCTACAACCTCTCAAAAAGTATCTAAAACCAATGTAGTTCTTCCTTAATGTTCTCTTCTTAAAGCTGAATAAACTACCCTTGCTCAGTTCAGTATCATCTTCAAATTTTCTGAGTGCACTCTGTCCCAGAATCCAAGTCATTAAAAGGACATTAAGTAGTTGCAGGTCCTAGTATTCATTCTAGAGGGACATCAGCCTTCACTTTGGACTTTGAACACTGATAATACCATTTAAACCTGGCATCCAGCCAATTTTATACTTATTATTCACTTACACAGGGATTATGTCTTGCTTATTTCAGCTCTAGGTAACAGAAGGTCCTGCTAAAGAAGAGGTAAGCAACAATGGTGATGTACAGGGGTTTGTCCCTCTCGGGCCATGAGGTGCTGATTGCCCTAAACTCAGTGAGAGTAGAAACATTTCAATTAAGGCAACAGACCAGCTGGATGCAAAAACAGCCCCAACCGGACATAATTTTCCCAGGAACCCAAAGAGGAAGTCACTGTACTTTAAACACAAAGAACCTGGAATAATGAAAACATCACATAATAGCTACTGCTAACAGTATCTTTTGTATGTAATTAAACTAAGGTGACAAAAAAATCTTACAATACATACAAAATCCCATAAAAGTTAGAATTGTAGGAAAAAAATGTTTAAAAGCTACTTATTATCACAAAAACCTGGACTGGTATCTTGCTACTTCACTAGCCACTGTGCTAAGCGATACCTTTTTAAAAATCATAGTTTTTAGACTGTGAAAGATATGCTGTCTAATATGTTATTTTCCGTTGAAGTCTTACCTTTCAAGTTCTTTTGGTTTAAACTTCCACCAAGTGTCTGGTTCTCGGAAAATTACTTCATATTTGAACTGCTGAGCCTGAATAAAACAGATATAGAACAGAACAAGCCACATCACCCATTTCTTACTTCTATGACAAAGCACACAACATGCATAGCTTGCTTTTTCAAAGCTGTTTTTTGTATTTTTTGATACCTGTCAAATATTTGGAATAACACTTCCATTCAATGTTTCACTTCTGTTTATATAAATCAAGTTTTTTAAAAACATGTACATGCATCTCTTACTGTACAATTAAATGTGTGCCATGAATTGCCTCCTATGAGACAAGACTGCAGAACATCTCTTTCCAAATACAGCATACACGTCTATGCAGCCTCTCCACGACAGAGAAAACCTCTCTGCCCTCATTCAGAGCTTACCAGATCCGAACCAGCTCCAAAACAAGCAATGCAGTTACATTAACACAGCTATTGTGCACGACCTTCCTGCCATATGGGAAGCTTCAGTGAGCTGCAAGTAAATGGTTCCTATGTGGTCTGTTCTCACCACGACAGAAAGTCTGATCAGGAGAAACACTGTGGAATACTATGCTGTTTCTCCCCATTGCTGTTTCCAGAAAAAATTCTTGTCATAGACTTTTGTTGCATCTTTATTTCAATATACAGCAAAATCAAGGACATAATTTATGAAAGAACTGCTAATCTGGCAATTGTTAATAAATGCAAGGAAACATTTTATTAGTAAAAACTGTTAAGTCCCACTGTTCACTAATCCATTACCACATGCAGCATATGTAGAGTATCTGCTAAAAAGCTGTCAATTCTATGTACTCTTTCTATGCCATGTAAAGAGAAATCCCAGATGTACTTCCTAATATTTCTTCCAATATATTATTTCTTTAATTACAACCAATGTAATAAAATAATGCAGTTCTATAAATACCAGTCAAAACACTGAATGCCCAACAGCAAAATAAGAAGCTAGAGTCTGAACGTGCTGATGCCCATTTAGAAACTATTAAATGAAAAGCTGAGAAGTTCCAGAAAACTGGAGTATGAGAAACTTATAACAGAAGTTCACCAAGTTATTTAAATAATTAAATATAACTTTGCAAGTTAAATGTAGATTGCATTAACTTAATAAACTAAAGCAGGTCACTTTCAGTCACTAAATAAAAGCACCACACTACTACCATAAAATAGTGCAGGTGCATTATTTTGATTACATCGTTTCAGTAAAAAATATTTAAGTAAATCTGCACAGCTTCAAGCAAGCCAGTAACATCTGAGAACTCTAGACTTCCAACTGGTCAGCTGGTATCTGTCTCCATGTCATATTTAGGGTGAAACGGAGACTGAGTTTTCAAGTTTCACATGGCATCAAATATCGTTCTTACTGATTAATGTTGATTATATTTTTTTAAGTAGATTCTAATTTTACTGATCACATGAAAGAGGAACAAAATTCAGTTTCTTCACAAATATTTATTTTTGGCCACAAGTACAAAGCACTTGGCTTTGCCTCTTGGAAACCAGGTCAGGTCAATACTCAGATATGCACAGAATATGACACTGGGTAATATGATTCCATGTAACACTTATTTTACTCCAGACTTCATTGTGGAATAGCAGCTAGACTGAGAAAGACAACCCCTGTTTAAAACAGTGTTGTTGCCATCCCGGTCAACAATCCCTTTTCACATTGGTCAAACTGTAATACTAACCAAAATAACATAAGGTTTCATCTCCCATGCTTGTATGTTTGTGTTGTCTATTATTATAGGAGAGATTCCCATTTCAAACGCTTCTTTGGCTGAAAAACACACATGTACAAAGGAGTGTGATACAGTTAATTTCATTATAATAGGGTGAACACATAGCATTTATACTAATTCTCTAAATTTTATTTTTAAGTAGATAATCCATAATGATTAACCACTGCGTGAAAAACTGTTGCCACAGCTTGGTCTGTTCCAAGACCCTCTATTTTAGAAATCCCCCCTCACACATAAAGCTACTGAGATATGGCATTATTCTTTTGAATTAACGCATGTATGATAATCAAGGAATGAAAATGCAGATGTAAAATGCACCAAGATGACTAATCAATCAGTAAATTAAACTAAAAAAACTACATGATCACCTTAAAGTGGACTTCACTGTTGCATACAAAATTCTTGGCTTTATAACAGTCTTAAGATTAGCCCACTCTGTAAACTGTATAAAATATGAAAAATCAAAAGAATTATTGTAATTTAAATACACAGTAATGAAATGTTTAGAATCACTAGCTTTGAGACACAGCATCTGCTGTGTCTATGTTTCTATAGTTATGTTACGAGTCTGAACAATCACACTACTTGTTGAATCATATATTTCTATCAATCCATTTCTCCACTGGTAGAAATCTGACAGTAGAAAAGTGATCATGATTCAAATTTAGCAAACAAAAGCTTTAAAAGAGCTGTTCTGTGGGGAGTTTAGCTTAAGGCACTGTCAAAAAATAAACTGATTATGGAAAGGGAAAAAAAATATTCTGTCTTGCTCTTGTAATTTAGTTTTAAATTTCCCAACAATTTAGCGTGTTATTTGTATCAACATCCTCATTACTTATTGCATATGCATACTACAATGTATCATCTCAGAAGAAGTATTTCTGGAAGACAGTACAGGTAACCACTTCATCAAGGGACACAACCCAAAATATACCTCATGACCAAACTTGAGGATAAAATAATCTTGTGACAAAAACACTGGCATTTTTAGTTGCAAAACACACAATGAATGGATGACTTCTGAGTTTGTGCTCATACTACTTTTCCACATATATTAAAAAATACTTCCATGATGGGATAAATGCTTGTCCTGTGATGCAGGCATTACAAGACAGGCAGGTTTTTTTTAAACAGTACACAAGCACTGAACTGTAAATGAGCAAGCTAATCCCTTATTTATTTCTCACCTCGTTTCCTGTTCCAGTCATGTGCTTCCCCTAAGCAATTGGGATCATAATGGTATTGTCCATTTTTATTAAAGTAATCATCAGTACTAAGAATGATTCCACCTGGGTTATCCTCAAGCAAATTCCTGTGAAAGATCAAGAAGTAAATAGCTTTTCCCCCTTCTTCTGCCAAGTCCTGATACCTGGTACTGTACATACATATTTTTTAGTCTCTTGCACAAACCCAAGATTATTTGGAATGGAATTAGGTAAGAGGAGAAAAAAAAAAAAAATCACCCTCCAGGCAAATATGGTCTATAATACTTTCTCTCCTTTTTCCAAAAGCTGAGGATTATCTAGGGGAGAGACCTCACAAAGGTTCCCTACAAGTCTCATTTCAAAAAAAAAGAGAATGATTTTTCCATCTACATGAAATGACATACTTTCACATTGACAAATACACAGCCTTAATTGCACCAAATGTTTCAAGTGCCAGCCAAAGGAGTCTAAGCTCAATCGAGGCTTTTGGAGTAAGAAAATAAATCAAAAATTCACCCCAACAAATACTATTTATACAAAAGAATTCCCACAGTGGAAGGGGAATTTCTGCCTGTAAAGAGCTGGCATATTTCCACAGATGTTATTCAAAGGAAACACCTGAAATAAACAGGGATTGGAAGAACACAGCAGACCCAACACTATGGCAATGGTACTCTGCTGACAAACTCTTTCATCCAGTGACAAGTTAAAGCTCACCCTTACTATTTCAATTTCCACTAGAGGTCAAGGAGCTGCAAGTAACTCAGCTCTCAGCAATTATCAGTCATCACGCTGCATGTACTGTGTAGCTGGCAATTAGGGTATAAGCATAACTATTTACAAACGTCAGAAAATTGTCTCTGCCTGTGCTAAATCCTGTACATGATTAAGCAGGTTTTTTTTAGAAGCTCACAATATAAATGTTCTACCTTGCCAAATATGATTTTCCTGATCCTGGAACACCTCTGAGAAGAACAAGTACTTGACCTATAAGATGCATCTTTTTTCTCATCATGGGACAAACACGAGGTTGCTGTACTTGCGAGAGGTTCAATTTTGAGTTTCTATCTTGATTTCCCCATACCTTCAGAGAAGGGTTGCTATCCCAGGCACTTGAAACCACTGGGGAGGAAACAAAAAGTCCTTTTTCCGAAGCCCTGTAGTCTGAACCAGGTCTCCACTGCCCTGGACTGGCAACCACAGGGACTACAAAGCTATGACTTCTACTGGATGGATAAAACACAGGAGCCATGAGATTCCACTGTTGTTGTGATTGACCTGATGGTGTAGAAGAATTTAAGTTATAAGCCAGCTGGGTTTGCTGAACATCTGCAGGTTTTTGTGTTTCCAAACTGGATGTTTCAAGAGAGACACATGCCTCTGGAAGAGAAGGGCTCTGGTAGCTGTTAAAGACAGTCACTACTTCTTTGTGCTGTTCCTGGCACCTTGAACTAGGATCTCCAGTGACAGCTACTCCAAGTTCCAGAGGGCTTTGGGAGGACTCACCAGGAACAGCAGTGACACCACTTTGATCCAAAACACTATCTTGTGCCTGATCAGAATTTTCACATATTTCTCCATTTGATAGTTTATACACTTCTGAAGATACCTCATGTTGATCATGTATTTCCAACGCATCAGAATCTTCCATTATCTGTGTAAAAGTGTCTGATGCAGCTGGTGAGCTTGTCTGGATGCTCAGCTGACTCATTGGTGGCTGAAAACAGAAGTTTTCTAAAACCTCACTATTTGTCTCTGTTTGCTGTGGAAAAAGTAGGGCTGAATCAGATTTTCCCCACTCGGGAAATTCAATTAAGCCATGGTGTTCCACAGTGTGCTTATGTACTGTTTGGTCATTTGCAGAATTAGGTAATTCATCACTCAAGCTGTAACTCTGAAAGGCATTTTCTATTAAGGAATCCAGTTCTTCAGTCAGCTGCACATCAGATGACAGGACATTTTCTATGGCTTCTCCAGGTTTACTTTGTTCTGCAGTACTTTCCCCCATTCTTTCATTTGCAACAGATCTTTGCTGATTAACAAGAGCTAATGATGCTGCTGCTGAATCAAAACCCAAGGTTTTTGAAGATGCTACTCCTTTGGCATGGGTGGACAGCTCTAGAAGATGATCCATAGCATTTTCTACTGTTGAAAAAGGTCAAGAGAATAAAAAAACATGGTCAACTGAACAAACCCAACATGAGGTGTATGCAATTATTTTACTTGAACAAGCATTTATCACCACTAAAGAAACATCCAAAAGACAGTTTACCAATTCATCTTTAAACACATGTTCTGCAATTCCCCCGATCTCATCAGAAGGCAGAACTTAATACAGACATACTGAAAAATAATAACCTAATAAGCATAAAAATTACAAAGTTTAATTAGAAAAAATATCAGCACTGGATGTTTAAATGGATACTTATTTCTCATCTATCTCATATAAGTGATATAGTGTAAAAATAACTGAAAAACACTACTGAGGACGGAAGAGATAAAAGTCCATGAAATATGTTCATTATGGCCCAATTTAAAATGTCCTGACCAATTCAGTATCTGCATTAATCTTTGTAAAGCCACTAAATGGAGCATAGGTTGCCAGTGATCAACAATATGAAAACCTGGCACAAGTATCATCTGAGCCCTAAGGCTAAGTTTCTGTTTTCCTGAAAGACAGTGTAGCAAGAAGTCTAAGTCCATTAAGTCTGACTCTTTCTGCACACACGTTAAACAAAATCTCCATCATTCTTCCACCTTCTCTACTATATGAGAACAACTTATTACTCATATGAAAATACGCTAATCTTTCAATTTTTAAACTACTGTTAATAGTACAACACTATGAATTCCATGCATTTAGTGCATTCTCAATAAGCTTTAGATAAATCTGTTATTTTAATAAAGGTGAATCTTATTAAGTAAGAGTTCAAAGCATAAACTGGTAACTCCATCAAATTCAATTTTGAAAGAAACAACAATCATAATAGTGGTCTCACATTTGTTATTAAGTTATAAATTGTACAATTTAGGCAGTAAAAACAGTCCTTTTAATGGCTACCTAGCTTTCATACGTATAAAAAAATTGCCAAACTCTGCCTTCTCTCAAATATTCTTAGAAAAATCTCAGCTAATCACATCGGATCATATGAATACAGATTGATTAAAATGCTCCATATATGACATTCTCCTGGCAAATAACTCTTCAGACATTGCTATTCAGCATCTAATCCAGTACTTTTTAATTAAAAGCAAATGAACTTGCATATAGAAGAATTTTAAAACCACAAATTAATGGAAAGGACTGGGCATAAACATGAAAACAGTCTGCCAGGAGAGGTGGGTACGCAGCTTGATAGAACACAGGGAAAGAAACACAGTTCAAGCAAGGCTGCAGAGAATTAAACATGACAAACAGAATTTATCCTGCAAAAACTAATCCTCAGTGGAGATGACAAGATGACAATGCAAAATTAAAGTAAAACAAAAGCTCAGTTCAAGTATTAAAGGAAAAACAGTTGCCAAAATCACACATGGCACACCATTAAAAAACTGTCATCTAGAACATAAAATATCCCTCCTGCAGAAACAGTTTAGGCATCTTGCAGATATGCACAGAAACTAACAGGAAAAAACAGATTCTTCTCACAACTCCACTACTGCCTGCTCTGTGTCACAAAACAATCCACTCTCAACTGTACCTCCATTTATGGAGCACACTGCTCCATTTACCTGCCTCACAGAAACGTCATCAAACTTGGAGAATCTTGCCTGGCTGTAAAATTTCAAAATATTATGACTCACCTACTCATTAAAAGCTAAACTCACAAATATGCTTGCATAAAACAAAACTGTAATGCCAACTATATATTATTTACCTTTAAAATCGCATTCAGACAGAACCATGTAAACCACACTAGGATCTAGAATAGAAAACATCTCTGACATGCTGTTGAAAAGCTCTTCCTTATTGACATAATGCACTGCTTGAGACATTGAGTGGCTTGGGTCCCCTTGGGATACAGCAAGAGCAGATCTGTCAGAATTGCCATTCTTCTGAGAAGGACTCCCACCAGTTTTCCTTCTCCGTGGCATTTTGTTGTCTAAAAAACAGCGTGCTTTTTGTTTTGGTTTGTTCACATGAGGTTGACAGCACCAGGTTCAAAAGTCCCAAAAAAAGCTCTCATAACTGGGATAGATATAACAGAAATACCAGACCTGGAATAAAAAAAGAACAGAGAAATTTCAATAAAATACAGTCACATTTCCATGTCTCTTATTTAGATAGCTAAAAGATCAAAAATACATAAGCATACAGGTAAGCATTTTGTAGAAGTCTGCCATTCTTCTTTTCTAATGGCTGAAAGCTAGGGTAGCCTTATTTTCCAATTAACTAGATATTGAATCTGCATCTGGAAGAGAGAACAAGTAAAATGCAGCTTAAAAGAAATCCAGAAGAGTAAAGTTTGCAATGCAAGGCACTCAGTTCACAAATATTCTTTCTGCTCCTGATGGAGGTTAACGTTATGGAAAACCTATAATCTTGTAGCATTCAGAAATTTTACTCCTCTTACAAAAGTACTGGAAAACCAAAGAGACATCTCCAAATCTTCCAGAAGTCTTCATGACTTCCCTCCACCCATGATCTTTTTAAGAGTAAACAGTTGGTGTTCTTCAACATTCAAACACTGGCATAGGTTGCCCAGAGAGGTTTTGGAGTCTCCAACCATGTGGATTCTCAAAATCTGACCAAACGCAGCCCTGCTTGACCCGGGCTGCTTCAGGGCTTGGGCAACCTGCTTCAAGCGCCCCTGCTCGAGCTCCTGGGATGAACCACATGACACCCAGAAGTGCCTCGACCTGTGTGAAGTTTATTTCATTATTAACATTTCGTTGCTTATAAAGCAAGAATAGGCTTCTGTCCAACCTCCAGACTTCTGCCATGAAGCCTTTGAATACATCTAGTTAAAATATTACAGTATCTATAACTGCAACTACTGCCTTAATCTTGTATAGAAAAGGAAACTGATTATTAATTGAAATACACCCACAGAGAATGGCATGGTCTCCCTTTTTTTCTTTATATCAAAATCAAAGCTCTCTTGTGCTCCAGTGATGGTTGAAATAAACTGTATTTTTTACAAATAATTATTCAGAAGACTAGCAAATCTTAGTAAGGCTCAGAATCTGAAGTTAATTACAGCAAAGAGTCACTATTTATTGATAACAGTTACGGATTAGGCCATAAAATACCTGTTTGTAAAGACTATTTTGCCAGTGATGATCAATTCAACACGTGCAGATAAATCAATGGCAGCACTTCCACATTCACTTAGTCCTTCCCACCCTGGATCTCTGGCACAAATGACAATGCCAGATTAGTGGCAGATTCAGGCAGCACATCTCCATTATTCTCTAACAATCTCTTTCAGCAACCAAGAGAAGTAACATTTAGCAGAAGGTGGGCTGTTACATTTCCAAGTCACAGAAATTTATGAAAGCAAAACAGACAACTGCAGAATTGCAGCAGTTTCTACCACATATATATGGACCTTACACAGACAAATGAGACGGATATCTGAAACAATGAAGAGGTCAAGAAGTCTGAAATGCACAACAAGGAAAACAATACACAGGAAAAGGAAGAAGCAGACTTCCAAAAATAAAGGAGAAACCACACTGAAAAATGCTACTTATCCAGACTGTGCTGGGACAATTGCAGTTGTTTTTTTCATCAAACTTTTTTTGATTCACTCTCTGATTAGTCATCCTTACACCATTCTTCACCATCATGAAAAAGTATTCAACAATCAAAACAAATTACAGGAAGTCCCCTCTTTCAAACTTCTATTTCTAATTGATTCATCTTCTAACCAGTAAAAGAGGTTGACCTAACTTCACACATTGTCAATGCTAAAAAATGTGATGGTTCCTACTAAAACAGGTTCAGTGACAAAGAAAAGATCCTGCAAGGGAGAAAGTTATTCCTGTACCTTGACATTACTGTGCAGCAACACTTTAAACAGAACATTTCAAGTGTTGTCAGTGTTTTAAAACAGCTCTCATATAATGATCAATTCTCTAAGGACCTGCTGCTGAAAAACATGCTCTGTAGCTAGGACTTTATATAACTGATTGCCTTATCTCACTGCAGGATGTTCCTGCATGTATTTCCTGCATTGGGCTGTGTATCCCATTATATATTAGGATGTTTTACTCTAAAAATGCCACACACTTCAGTCTGGATTGATCTAAATCAGCAAATTTGCAGTGCATTGCTTCAGGATTATTAAGGCCCAAACTGTCAATCACAACTAATCACAGAAGGGAAAAGATGGCAGAAGGGAAAATGACATCAGACACCTCAGAAATTACATGCAGGTCAAAACCTTGGTGACTCCCACCATGTCCCAGTATTCTAAGGCAACGCACAGATCCACACTTCATTCCATCTCTCCATCTTCAACCTATCAAAAAGATAGATCCTCATTTCCCAGTATTTCTCTTAAATAGGGTATTTATCATGTTCAGTATCTCAGACATATTTTGACAGAATCTCCTTTGTTTATCACAATGTAGACAGATTCCTGGGAGATATCTTCTGTTGATACTACCAAGCACAATGAAAATATATAGAAATAGATGTTGAGGAATACTTCTCGTGCAGGTGGCCTGACCTGCAAGCTGCAGATCGAGACTGAAATGCAGACTGGGCACTATCCCAATCTCTGGCATAACAAAGAACATGAAGATGGGTGACAGCCAGGCAGAGGAATGGACAGTTGAGAGATACAGCAAGAGCCAGGAACTGTGAAGCCAGCAAGGTGGATGGACATGGAACAGCAAGTGAGGGGGGCAGGAGGGGAAAACAGAAAGAAGAGCGAGACTGGTGCTCAGAGGAGACTGTGAGGGTATAAAAGCCTAGGGCTTCTCGGGTTTGGGGCTCTCCTCAGAGGGACTGTCTCGAGTTGTTGCTGTGATACTGTGCCAGGAATAAACTGCCTTGCAGAATGTGATGTCTTAGACACTGCTATAGGAAACCTGGGGTTGAACCAGGAAAGAAACCTGGTCTGGCTGTACCTAAGTGGGCTGTGTGGGGAGCCAAGTGGGGACCAGTCAGCTCACTGGAGCCACCCACCGTGAGGGAGCTGTGGTCCAGCCGATGAAGTCTCTGGCAGTGGGAGTGTGACATCCAGAGAGCCTCGTGAATGGTCACACTGGGAAGTTTCCTTAACACAGGTGCCTACACACAAACAAAGCACACTTCACCGTACTTCCTAAGAGATATAACACTAGCACGCTGAACTGAAAGGAGTAATTTTCACTTGCTTTTAAGAGCATGTCCTGACCTTTACAAAGGGTTTTTATCTAGGGGCTTGCCTTTTTATATACCTAAGTTTCTTTTTGACTATTACCTTTACCAAGAAAGAGGAAATAATTCCAAATAACCCTCTAGCCTGACTTGCAGCTCAGTTATATTCATTGGTTCTGGATAACATAATATGAATCAGTCTGCAGTTTGCTATAGGTGTGTTTGGGTTTTTTTCCACCTGAAGATGAAAATAGAGTTGTAATAACATAATGATTAGGAAGAGCAGGGCTGTGTTGAACACACTTGATTGGGAATTCTAAACAATTAGTGAGAGGCTGCAATATACTCAGAGGTTCACTAGTCAGTTCCCAGTACCACTGTTTGACACAACATCCAATTGGAGCAAACAGCTGTTTCATTTCAGCACAGATTAAAAACAATACTGCTGTGAAAATCTCAACTTCACCTTTAAAAACAAAACAAAGCAAAATCCCTAAGCACTTCTTCATGCATAGTCCTTCAGATATACACATCTCCTGACATTAAGGATCCCCTCACAATGTAATTCAACTACCATAAACAAGCATATATACAAAAATATGCCTGTGAGAAAATTACCTTCCAAATTAAGCAGTCTTACAAATAAAGCAGATACTGAGATACCTGCATTCTCTACAAAGTAAGATAATTTTCAAATTCTACTAACCTAGGAAAGAAGACGTAGACTTGTTTATTTCTGATGTAGATTACGAGCCTCAGGTGATGCCTGTTCCAGTACTGCTACCCCCCTAAGGAGCTGGACAGATGCATCATAGACATTCTGTAGACACAGACCAGATGCTATTACAGGCAATCCAGTCACTACAGAAACAGGTAGGCACCTACATAATCAACCTAACACAACACATTCTTCTTTCCTGTTTGACAGATAGAACAATGAAGTGTTGAGAAGTGGCCAACCTGGCACAGCAAGAGGGTGGACCAAGATATCAAGTCTCAATCTCACCATTTTACTAACAACATTCAACTTTTCTTTTTGGTGAAAAGGAAACCAATCATTTCATAAACTAGTTCTAAGAAAGCACGTTCTAAGAAAGGGAACTTAACTGTAAGGTGTCCTTAGAAATGTTCAAAGTGTACTCTTACTTATGACACATAATCTAAAGAATGCAAAACATTTAAACCATCAAAACAAAAATCTAAGGGGGGAGAAATAATCCCCAAGACCCTCCAGGATCCATTATTTTAAAAATATCTAAGTTTTCATTTATTTTAGGAAATAACCATTAACATACACCTACCACACACAAGTCACCACATTGCTAACCAGTACAGTCATGTCAGCAAACTTGCTGTGAAGAATTCCTAGTACTTTGAAAAAAGTTTAAAAAACAAGGCTACAAATGTATTTTCTAAAATTAAACTAAAAGGCATGAGTGATGTTTGCACTGAGGCTACATTAAATTTCTCCAGCTAAACAGCCTTTGTTTTCCATAGCAAAAGCTAGAAAATTTCCTTGGCTTTCTAAGAACTCCTATACATTGTTAAAGACATGTATTTTTACAAGATCAGACAAAAGTTACTATAAAGAGTATTAGGTACCATGTGACTATTGTTAAATTTCTGGAAAAATAATATAAAACTAGGCTTGTTTCATTCTCAGTGTAATATGAAAATGTTTATGTAGTTGCTGAATAAAGATCTGATGAAGGGCTGACGCATGTCACACATCTCTTACACTGGGATGTCATCTTAGAAACCATGCATGGTAGCTTGCCTTTTCAGGATGTGTCAAAATTCTCAAGTAAAGTGGGCTGACTGCAAGTCCTATTGGAAACCAGTAGTATTCAAGAAGAGACAGAACATACAGAATAAAGGAAAAAATACACTAAACTATTTTTTAAGTGAGTTAGATAGCTGATACCAAAGTATTCACAAAGCTCTTTAAATCAAAGATCCTGCATCGGCAAACAATCAGCAGTTAATATAATTTTTCAAAGTCATTACGAGAACTTTTATTTTTAAGCAAACAGACCAGTAAATTATTCTAACCACTATGGAAGACTTACTAAAAGCACCAAGCAGCACGAGACACTTCTGGTTTAACTGTGATCAAGTTCAAATGATAAATGTTATCAAAATTATTTCTATTCTTCTTTTAAGGACAGGGGAAGTCTCCAGCCTTGACACAATGTAAGATTCAAACAATATGAATAAAGCTGCCTGATTTGCATATCTTTTTAAATTTCTCTGACCAATTTTAGGAAGTTAACTCCATACATATATAGAAGAGGTTAGTTTAGTTTTGCTTCTTTGGCAGCGGTGACTTTTTTTTTTTAATTTTGGTTTGCTTTTGGGGTTTTTGAACCATATTTTAATTTTAAATTATATAAAATATTTCTCATGTAATGTTCACGTTTATTTTCCAGCTTTTAAAAAACACACATGCACATATATAGTGACATGATGGGGACTGAAAAAAAATCTCAATTGGTAATACAAATAAAATAGCAATGGCACAGAACTTACATTTTCAGCTTCACGGAATTGTTCTGCAATAGGTGTCTTCTCATCTTTCCAAAACCACCACTGATGGCACATTTAATAAAGATCTGCTGTTACAAAATATAATCCACTCTTCTGTCAGGAAACCATACCTCCCAGCATAGCAATCAAACATCAGCAGAAGTGGATTCTTCCTCCTGACAAAAGAATAATCAGCATACAAATTAAAATTTGCATTTTGCTCACTTTAAGCAAAGTTTTAAACACTCAGCAATACATCTAATTGGTTTTAGTAGATTAAACATAGCTAATACTTTAAGTAAGTACCCAATATATCAAGTTGAGCTCAAGTGTAAGTCTTCCAAGGACAAGAATACTTATTTGATTTCAGCTTTTAGATGATTTCTTATCTAAAAATGCTGACTTATGTCAGGTAAAGAAATAACATAATGGCAGAAAAATCAGTTAGAAATAAACGTAAGTTTCCTCACTTGCCATTCCACTTGGTTCTTCACCACAGTTTTTAACCATCTTGAAAAGGTCTACATATCCATGCTGGTCAAGAACAGATTTGTTCCATCATGTGGGAAATAAGGCAAAGAAAACCTGGTACATCAAAATAAGATCATGTTACTTACACCACTTATTTGAAATGCTCTGCTGATGCTAAAGAACTGCACTTCTGTTCATCAAGTGCATGTAAACCCCTAAACCACTGTTTACACACCAAAGATGTTTCATCTACTCAAAGTCTGACTTAATTCCAGTGTACATATTAGCCTAAAGCTCACACCTGTCTTGTGCTTTCAAAGTAAAAAGAAACAAAACCAAACACCGAACTAAGCATATACACCTAAATTAGGCAAAGAATATGAAACAACTATTCTGTCACACTCATAACATGACAGGTTGATGGCTCAAATACTTTATAACATTCTTCACTAGAGATGAAGAAACCCATCTCGCATTTTGCATGTAACCTCATTCCACTACTCCTAAGAAGTAAGAACTGCCATCAGAGCATACAGAGCACTTCAAGTGAGCAAGAACTTGATGATGAGTATCCAAATTTATAAGGGATAGGACAGGCTGCAGACACAGAATGTTATTCACCTCACTCTCAAACATATAGATTCAGAAAAACCACACGAGGAAAGGCTGAAAGCCATTCAGTGGTTTTATCAAACAACCTTTTAACAAAGGTTATTTCCACATTTGCTCATTTGCATTTTGAGGTTTCATAAATGGAACAAAACAAGCATTTAAATACCAGCACAAGAAAAAAAGGCAGCCAATGAAATCAAACTGTGACCAACTCATTATACTTCCTACCTGTACTTATATAAAAAAGGAGCTTTTCTTTTGGGACCATATTTGAGTCTCCTCTCTAAAAACCAGAAAGTAAAAAAGGAAAAAAAAAAAAAGGAAATTACTTCCAGCATATTTTTCTCAATAAGCCTAAAAGTAGCAAAGGAGATGGTTTAGGAGCCTTTTGTGTTCTTCCATTTCCACCAGCAGTCAGTAACAGAAAGGGCCACCTAAACACTTCATTATTGAATGTGAAAATCGATACCCAGCTGGAGACAAAGTGCTTCTGAAAACACTTCAAGCGAGTTTTCTGCTCTTCCCTTCTCCCCCTCAGTATTATTCCCACTGGTTGTTCCAAGGGCTTTGGCTAGTTCAACAGTTTGATCTAAGATCCTCTTTTTCACATCAAATTCTGTCAAAGAGCGTGACACCGACACATAGAACTCATTCTTAACTAATGTGCACACACTTGCTTTATACAATCTGTTCTGCTAGGATTTTTTTCCACTTTTGTGATTTTAAAGTCTGGTTCGGACCATACAGATTCTCTTGAAGCTGCTACAAAAAAATCTTCCTTTCAATATGAAACAAAAATTTCATCCAACTACACACACACTTCAAGAGTACCAAACCAGCACAAACTCATCAGAAGTAGATGATTAGGAGGCAAACACAACTTGCAGGAAGAACAGAGCCCTGTTTGCTAGGATGGACTTGAAAGCTCTTCTCCACATGCCAGGTCACAAGGAGAAGTCAACATGCAGTGGCAGTCAGCTGGTGTTTGACAGGTGACAGAAGCTGTCAAACTCTACATCATGCTGTTTCCTTTTAAGCCAGGAAGCTGCTCTTGCTAGAAGCCTTCCACACAGGGAGCACATACAGCACAGGCTCTCAAAAAGGCACAGGCAGATCTGCTGGGTGTACATGATTAAAGTAGCGAGCTAGGAGGAGGAGGAGAGCCACCAGTGAGCGTGTTCTCCAGCACCAAGTCTGCTTGAAAAGAACTACCTTTGTACTCACTCTCCTTTTGCTGTGTGCTAAAGGTCAAAGTTTGGCCTCGGGATTATGGAAAGTGCAGACGTGTAACCTGACAAGCTAGAGAAATCAACAACAGTTGTTTTCCTTGTTTAGGGAGGGAGTGTTGTTGCTTGTTACGTTTTGAGTTTGTGCATTTTTTTTCAGAAAATAGTAATAGAGTATCTGCAAAATGTCTTTCCAGCCCTAGAGGAGTTCAGAGTTAGTTGATCCTTTCATAGCTTCCCTTCTATGTCCTTTGGTAGCCTCTGCTCGCAGCCCTCTCAAGCGTGCTGAAGTAAGGGTTTCCCATGGTGAACTCAGCTTTGAGGAGAGCTCCTCCAGGATGCAGAGCTCTCAGGCTGCCTGGGCTATCCTCACAGCTCAGCTACACTGCCATGACCTATGCCCAGCCTCCAGAGTAATTGCCACACAATGTAACAAAGACCAGACTCGTGTTTATGGTGGTGCTTCTGCAGTTTCAGACCTGCAGTCAGCACTACTGCTTAAGATTATATTCCTACTCCACATTACGAAACACAGAGAGAGGTATTTGGAAAGAGGAAGGAGAACTCTTGCCAGGTGGAGCTGCAACTTGCCCACACGATGACTGTTCAAAACTCAGGCTGAAGGGCAGTGAATGAAACAAACACATCTCTGGAGAATTAACATTTCCTCAGCATCACAGAATTTCCTTTCATGTTGTCTCCAGATGAACTTTCATAACTGTCTCTGAAAACCCTTTCTAAGACAGCAGTGCCTGGATCTTGTAATTCAAGGCTTGGGGCCTGAGTTGCTGGAAATAGTTCGTAATCTTTTATAAACTGCAACTCTGGCAATACCTAGCTAAGCAGCTACGACATAGTATATTTGATGTTGATAAAAAAAGGAAAATGTAATATTATAAAGCTGACACTCCTACTGAGGTGAATTTTAATACTGCTGTATTCTGCTACATTACCATTTCCTGTTTCTTAAAGATTTCTTTTCTGTAACTAAGACCGGGCCAAAGGATGAGCATTTATTTAATGCTTGGAAATCCAGCAAAAGAGTGGAAGCGAGGGCGAGGACTGGTTCTATCAAGATGAGAAGATACTGTAAAAGAGGAGTATTACTGAAGATCACAGATGATGCTTATTATTATGGGCACACATGCAGGTGGCATTATGAAGGAAGAAAAAGTGGAACATTAAAGGAATACTTATTTAGACTTTTCTGTACTGGCAGCAGTCAGGGCTGGCAATAGATGCAAATGCTACTCCCCCAAATCTTGGCTTGCTTTAGCTGTTGATGTAAAGAAAACAGGCTTACCTTCTTCTTATAGATGATGCTGCAACTGTAACACACCTGGGAACAAAGGGAAGTGTCTGTCAAAGGCTCAAGCTCCAGAGCATGAATCTTCAGATCTCTGCAAACACCTAACAGGGCTTCTGCAATGTGCCCAGGTTTCTCAGCTCTCCACCTTTCCTCTGTGTGATACACAGAACAAGTCAAAGACAGCACTGTCTGGCCAACTGTCCAAAATAACCTCTTCCTACCTGAAGGTCAGCTTAAGATGTTCAAGCCCACCATGCACACAGCGCTGCTCTCCAGTGATCCCCAGCGGCCACTTCCCTCCAAACAGCCTCATGCAGTTTTCAGCCCTGTGACTCTAAACGAAGGTTTGCTGCACACTGGGACAAAGCTGAAGCACTGATTGTCCACATGCAACAGCAACATGAGAAACACTCCAGAATTTCCTGAAGAGGAACATACCATAGTGATACATAATAGAGTTCATCAGCTCACACTGAGTCAAGCTGCATCATACAATTACAGCTTAAAAAATAAAGCCAGAAAACAAACGACATAGAGAAGGAATGATAGTATTAGGAATAGTTTATTCATGGAGACACCTCAAATATTTTCAGGGCGGGAGGAGGGGGAAATAAAATTAGGTGTGAGGGCCTAGGCTGGAAACTACACTGATCTTATCAGGGCAAATAGTTCTACTTCATATGTTCAAATGCACTTCTACTGCTGAAACCACCAGGCCAGCTGAATGTAGAACACACACAGCCACTACACAATAAACACTATTCTGAGTTTAATATAACCCACAGATGGATGACCATCCTGATCTAAGTACAATAACAAAAAGCTTACAGCCTCCAAATGACTGTCATTACTTTCTTGATAGAGACTTAAACCTGTCATTTACTTTCAGAAAGTAGTTCACCTGAGGTGACTAAAAAAACATCAGCCAGGACCATTTGAACAGTTTTAAATAGTGGTTTGAGTTAACACAGGCAATTTTTGAGATGCAACAGAGCTTAATTACATAAACCAACCCATGGGTAATCAAAGAATCCCTAATATAATCATGAGAAGAAACCACTGTAAAACAACATCTTCCATGACCACAGCCAGATTCAGGTCAAAACGTACGACCTTATTCAATTCTGAGGCGGTGTAATAATAATAATAATAATAATAATAATAATAATAATAATAATAATAATAATGGCCAGTCTTCGCGAGCGAAGATCCGGGGAAGGTCTTTACACCTTCCAGCCTGCGCATTGGATTTTTTAGGTGAGACACAGTGTGCGCAGAACTGAGCCCACCCTTTAATCCTAAGGTTCATCTGCCGGGGCCAAGCGAGCTTGGACGGTGGCAGCGAGGTCCTTAGGACGTAGGTGGGTTGCCTTTAAGGGCTAACGAGCCCCACCTGCCCGGGAGTGGCCCTGACCGGGAATCGAACCCGGGTCTCCGCGGTGATAGCGCGGCGCCTTTACCACTAGACCACCAGGCTAATGAACGGCCTACTGACATTTTGATAATAGCAGAGCCTCTGGGAGAAAAACAAAGGCAGTAACTTCCTAAAACTCAAGGATTAATAATTTAGAAACTTTTACAGAACTAAATTCTTATGCAAAAGAACTCTATTTAAAATAGTAATTAGACTAATTAAGTCAACGACTTAGCCTATAGGTCAGTATAGACACTGCGCAACACATCAGATCGACAATCCCCCAATGTCCCTAACACAATATTTTTAAATCTTAATTCAAGACAAATTCAAATTCTCTTCTGTAAAATAAAATGGACAAGGTAACAAGTAACAAGCCACCTACACCATAAAGTGAAACAGTTGTAAGTCCGTGATGGATGTTTCCTAACACCACGTCTAGGCTACCATTTTTGTCAGGCAGTACTGCGCTTTCACATTGTACCATTAAGAACTTCGTTTCCCTCTACATCATTAGCTTCCCCAGCTGAAATGGGGAACTTTAATACAACAGAAGGGGAGTTCTCTAAATAAAAAGTGTAAACAAGACCACAAAAGAATTAGAGGGCAACTAAAAGCCAAAACAAAACCCAAAGGCCTTTTAATAGGAAAAAGCCTATTAAAAAGAAAATAAAGGATTTTAAGATGTGGTTTTATACGGTTAAATTTCCCTCACAAGTTCTTCACACAGTCTACATGAACAAAAACTATTGCAACTTGAAAGTGCTGCAAACACGTGCTGCAACCACATGACACAAGCAAGCCCTGCCCTAGTCGTGGTGACTCCACCCAGATGAAGGAGGGCTACAACTTTCAAGCGTTATAGACCTAAACTAAATTAATTTTTTCTGCCCTTCTATAATTTTCGTCATGTTTATATTTCAACTTTTGGCTCTCCACTCACATCCAAAGCCACGTGATCTAAAACTTTTATTCTTTTTGGAGGTCTTTTGATTAAGTTCTTAAGCTTGCTTGTTTTGCTTAAGTTTTATATAAATAGTTTTATATAAATTATGCTCGTCTTTTTACTGCAGGTCCTACTGCAAGAGTGAGATGCAGACCAAACTTCATCAATACACTGTATAAAAGCATTAAAGTGTTTCTTAAGAATCAAACTGTCATAAGTCTTTTAGAACAGAAATTAAGAAAAGTAGTATGTTTTTCATTCTCGCCTTGGAAGTCAGGCTCCTCCCAAGCCCGTGACCTTATCGTACGTGATCAGCAAAACTGCAAACCGTGTCCAGAGCACTCAGGTGTACTACACTATGGAGTAAACACAGGGTAAACACCTTTCAGCGGTTCTCGACTGTTCAGAACGCAGATGCCCTAAGAGTACTTAGAACCTTTTGATTTCATTTTGAACGGGGTGAATTCATACTGCGGGGCTCCATTCCTTACGAGACGAAGTTCACGGGCACTCCGCCCTGTCTGCCCGGGGCAAGCGGGCGAAGCCTTTTCGCCGACTCGCCAACGCTGACCCTTCCTCCAGCGGCCACGGCCGCGGGCGGGGCAGGAGCCGGGACTGCTGCGGAAGGCCGGGCACCGCCGTGACCGCCGAGGAGGAGCCGCGGGCGGCCGGGGCAGACGGCGACGGCCACACGGAGCGCCGCCAGCGCTCACCACAGCGGCGGGGAGCACCCAGGCCACGGCCAGGCCCTGGGGAATTCAGGCTCGAGTGGCGGACCCGGCCCGGCGGCGGAGAGGCCCGACCTGCGACCGCGCCGCCCCGGCCGCTTCCCGCCAGCGGCAGCCCCCGCCCCGCCGCCTCCCCTCCCACCCGCAGGCAACTCCTCTGCAGTGACGCCGGGGACGGGCCCCCAGCGCCGCCGGGCCCGCCGCCATGCACAACGCGCCGCGGGGCCGCCCGCCTCCCGCCCCCGGGAGACCGCGACGAACAGCCCCGCGCCCTATCGGGAGCAGGGGGAGGGCGAAGCTCCTCCCCGGCCCCGCCGCCAGACCCGCCGGCCGTTACCTCGCTCGGCTCGGCTCGGCTCGATCAGCTCCGCTCGCTGTCACCGGCGGCGGCCGCGGGGCTGCGGCCGCGGAAGGGGCGACTCGGGCGGGGCGAGCGCGGCGGGGACACAGCGCCGCTCCCCGGCCGCCCGGGGCAGCGCAGCCCGGGAGGAGGCACCGCCCCCGCCTCTTCCCCGCCCCGGCCGGCTGAGGGCAGCGCTCCTGCGGGGGAGGCGGGCCCTGGCCCTTTTCCCGGGGATTGTCTGTCACACTGGGCTGCCGATCCAGCTTCGCGGGCTCAGCTTTGGCAAGGGTCGCGATGCTCTGCCGGGATGAGAAACCAGCGTGGGAGGACGGAGCTGGTCTGTGGGGGCCGCGCTGCTGGGTACGGCACACGGGTGAGGTCCGGAACAGCGGGAGAGCCTTGACTCAGCCGTGTGTGACAGCTTTCACACGTTTAGTTCCTCGTACTGCTGCCCTGCGCTACGGAGCATTCTCTGAGGTCGAGGAAGCTCCCACAGTCCGGAATGATGCCGTGGGTCTGCGGGCTGCTGCTGAAGCGGCAATGGCAGTAAGCGGCAGAGGAGACGGAGAGTTTTTAAGGAAGTTGAGGGGTGTCTGACGGGATCTGGCATCAGTGATTGCCGTGTAAGAGCTGCAGCAGGAGAATAGAGGAGCAACTGGTTAGGAGGAGAGGGCTTGCTTATTTGCAGCAACCAGTGGATGCTTGATGGAGATGGACAATGGAAGATTATGGAAAGATGAAAGAGAGATGTGCGTTTGACAGACTAAGATGATGATAAGGAGCTCTTAAATTAGAACTGCTGTGAAGCCACCACACAGGGAACTAAGCATCTGGACAAGAGTTTTGAATTTGTCAACACATTTCTTGTGTTGATACACAAGATGCAAAAGACTTTTAGAGGCAGAGCTCTTATAATAAAATAAAATAATAATAATAATTAAAAAAACAACACTCAAGATGAGCAGCTTCTGCATGGAGAACTTTCAGGTAGTTTTATAGAAGATCGTTGATCTGAGAAATTTCATGGTCACCAAACAGGCTTTAAAATCTAGTTGGAAAATTACATGTGAAGTTTACCCATTACTGATTTCAAAGAATAGGACTTCATTACATAGCCATAGGCATCCTTGTCGGCTCTGCCTCCCTGCCTGTCCCAGCAAGATAATAGGCAGGGTCTCCACTACTTCCTGCTAGTACATCTGATTCTCAGACGGAGATGGGTGCCTTCCTGTGCTCCATTATCTTGAGAGATTTCCCTGGCATCTGTATGCAACCAACTCCCATCAGGGCACAGTGCCTCCGGAGGACGTTGGCTGGAGGTGTCCCACTGTGATCCTTCCTCCTAGGGAACAGAAATATGACACTCCTGTGAAAGGGGAGAAGCGTTTTCCCTGGAGGGGTGTCACAACCCACTCGGTAGGATGTGTGATATTCTTTATAAATCTCATCAGGCTGAAGAAAGACACCAGTCCTCATGTCAGGCAACTCTTATGCTTTATTGTATCTTAACTTATTAATCTGAACTTCAGCAAATAGCCCACTATTTAGTCTCAAATGTGTTAGCGAACAAGTCCTTTACTTTTACAACAAACTACAACAAACTCCCAACTCCTGCTGCCCCGCCTCCGCAGGACCCTCCCTCTATTCCAGTCACAACTTTTCTGTAGCAACAGTGAGAACAAAACATGCTTACATTCTTATACCTGGTCCTTCATAAGGCGACTAAAGTTGTCTCCCAGCCCAAAGGTCCTTTATATTGTGCTTCATCCCATTCAAAGGAGGGGGCACCCTGAGCCTCATTTGTTGTTCATTTTTCTTCAAAGAGGGAAACGTGGAAGACGTGGCCTTCAGCAGACTGCTGAAACGCTGCTTGTTTAGCACCTAACCTTACGTGCTTCACAAGAAAGACCAAAAAGTCACATCCAGCTTTGTGTCTGAGTGACTCATACTCCCACTGCTGCTTCCTTAGAGGCCTGGAGAGTCTCCTTCTGCCACCAGGATGCACCTGTTTGCACTAGAGATGCAACTTCAGTTTTAATGCCAGTACTGAATAAGCACGTGCAAAAATAATAGATAGTCCTACTAAGTATGCATGAGTAGCTCACTGTAGTAGTTTTATGAAAACCAGAATGCTGCACAGAGTAATTTGTCTAGAATTGTAGGGATCACAGTCCCAAAGTGCTGGCTATTTGGTAGCAGCAGAATGGCAAGTATGTTTTATATACAGGATTGTATACATTCCTCAATAAAAGTAGTGTTAGAAAATTAGTATTCAAATTCAAAGCATTTAATGTTTTAGGAAATAAATTGATTGCTAGTTTGCCCATCACTTTGCTATTTCAGTACCTATCTTGTAGCTATATAGTGTGCAATATTTAAATAAACAAGGACGAACATTTCCATTTCTAATACAATACATAAAGCCTACACACACTCATTCACAGGATGTGCTGGTAAGCCTCAAAAAAGCTGTCTCTTGCCATGACTCACAAAAGGAAAATAAATAATTATTCAATATGCTGCTATTGTGATCATCCAAAAATCTGCAAGACAAGCCTTGATTGGAATTTGTGTGTGCGCGTGGTGTCAAGTGACGGTTTTGTGGATGTACCGGGAACTGTTTCCTTGCCTCATGTATTCAGTGTCTGGATAAGTATCAGAAACAAAATCGTTTTTCTTTAAGGGTGTGATGCTGGTAATGTGTTAATCATACATTTGGAAAAATAGGTCATGTAAATTCCAGTGTAATGACTGTGTCTTTATATTCTTAAGGTTGCCAAAAAAGAGGAAGAGAGGTTTTCAGTGTGCTCTACTGTGATAGCCTTCATTAAACTGCACTGCTTGGGGTGTTGCTGCTGGCACTTGATGCATGAAACTATGTAGTTCTTTGCCAGTTGTACATATTACAGTATTTGACACCATGAAAATACCAGACTAATTTGGGTACTGGCAGATTTCTCACTACCACAGTTAAGACTTTAAATAGAAGGGATTTGGGTATCTAGAAAATGATAATCACTGTAATAGAGTCCCTTTCAAGTATTTGTGTCCTTTTTTTCAATTTTCACATAACTTTTTCAAACAATACAATACAATAATCACCTATTATTTATGTTGTTGTTGTTTAAGCTTTGGGTTTTTTTAAATTCCTTTGTCTCTCCTTATGTCTCCAGTTGGCTTGTTTTTACTTGGAGTGGTTTGAACATACAGCATGTAATCTGTGCTGTTTGGCTCAAATGTTTAGTCTGGTCTTCACTGAATACTTTAGGAACAAATTTTCCATTTTAGTTTCTACAATGCTGCCTTCTTAAAGTAAAAATACTTTACTATATTCTTGCTTATGTTATACACCACAATAAAATAGCATTATTACCAGAGTTGGGCCATAAAAAAAGGTAGTGTCAGTCCTTATAATGCTTCTGATTATATAAGCCTACGTCTACTCAGCAAACTGTGATTTCCTTTCTTCTATACTCAAAATGTCTTTATAGCTATAAAAGTTATTAGATTTTGATTTGCAAGAACTATTTGCAGCTAGACTTTTGGTTTGAAGAACATTCCGGTACGGCAAGAAAGACACGTTTAACTTTGCCAGTTTTAAATACTTGTTTTTACTTACATGTTGAATATACAATAATAAATACTGTAGGAAAAGGCCTGAGAAATTAGTGGGCATTGAAAATTAATGCCTGCCTGCAGCAAATCTGAAAGAATTTATCTTTCCAGGAACTTAGGGTACAGTTTTTATCATTATTCAGAACTTTACTTTGTACATTAATATACATAATCTAAGCCTCAAATTATCATAGGTTTTTCCTTCCTTCAGAAAGGACAGATGAAGAGCCCTCATCTAGTTCCTCCAGAAACCATTTTCATAAAAGTTAATCCAGTCCCTCCATGCAGTAACCCCTTCTCTTCTATGGAGCCTTTCATATTCTGTTGCCAGCTTTAAGTTTCACTTACCATTGCAGGAAATAAAAAATGTTAGCTTTCCCTCTCTATTTTTTAAATTGATTTACCTTAATGCTGATTTAAGATGTTTAACTTGGCTTCTTGGAATGTCTGTGTCTCCAGTTAATATTACTTTGTTCATGATCTTAGAGTTTGTGTTCCTACAAAAGATAACTCTTCCGTCTGCCAGAATTTGATTTCCAAAGTAAAAATTTAATTCCCTAAGAAAAAAAAAAGAAAAAAAAAGAGGGCAGAAGTTTTATAAAAATAAATGTTTGCAGAATAACTCACATAAGTGTCTTGTCTCCTCCACCTCTCTCTTAGATTTAAGTCAAATGCATAGTGAATTTTGGTGTTTTATCTCCATAAAGGAACTCCATATCTGGCTTCTCTACTTGAAGTATATTGATCTTCTGTTCCATATAACTATCAGTTTCACAGTTAACTGTAGAAACAGGTTGGTGTCACTGCAGTAATGTTAGCAATTTCACATATACATTTTTTATTCCTAATAGTACAGTTTTACTATACCTATATTAATTCCCTTTATACAGGGTTCTATTTCAGCATTATTTTAAACAGGGAAAAAACCAGTATTTAGAAGCAGCAGAAATCTAGATCATGAGGCACTTTTTGCCCCACTGAAGACAATAACAAAAATTCTGCTGGTTTCAATAGGATCACATTTTTAGATGAACAGGTCACATTAATTCCAGCATTATCATAAATGAATACTAAAGAAGTTACTTAAGAAACCAGTACTTTTGTTCACATACCGATCAGTAAACTATCAAAGGAGTTTATAAGGTTATAGCTGAATGTTAATAGTTGTAAATTTTCAAATTCTGGTTTAGAGGCATTCTAAAGCAGCATAATACCAGTCTTCATTTAAACTACTTGTACTTTAATGAGATACTCCAGATATACTGCAGAACAAAAATAGAATTTCCTTATTATACCTGCTATGTTAAACATCTTCAGAATATATGAACTACAAAGATGCTTGGGTTTTTGGAAAGAAGATGCAGAGATATGACAATAAATGCTATAATCCAAGAACAAAAGAATTACACTTAATTGTATCCTCTCTGCAGGCATAGAATGAGGTTATGCCTATGTAGCTGATAAAATCCTCACTGC